ACCAGCGGGGTGTTCTATGGGTCCAAATGAGTAGTCCTATCCTTGAAGGCCCTAGTGGCGTATCCACTGAGATGGGTGAAGTTTTTACCCTCTGGAATGGTGAGTGGCCTGGTAGATGGTCCCTCAAATGACTGTACCCTGGGGAGGGGGAATTCTAGTTAAACCATATTTTGTCAGCAGGCCATGTCTTGGCAACCGCAGAGAGCTGAGAGTGGGAGTTCCCAAATCACCTTACCAAGCAGAGAGGAACCTGGGCACAGCTCCCCTTGCCAATATCTCAACTGGGGGTCAGTTAGTTCTGTGTGGCTCTGATGCCCTCCACTTATCTGCACTTTCCACTACCTCTGAGTTAATTTCCTCCAGTTTCCTTTGTTTCAAGGGAGGAATTTTCATTTGTTATTGCTGGATTGCAACACCAGCTTGCTGTTGTTCTTTCCTAATCAGACAACCTTGGTTGCAAACAGAAACACTCTCCTTGTTAATGAAGGAATATTCTGTTGAAGAACTGCTGGAGAAGGAGGTGAAAAGGGAAACAGCCTTTTTGAAGAGGATGGGGAAGCAGAGAATTCCTCTTCAGAAGAATCTTCTCCTAAGGAATTCCAGGGTCAGAGCTTATTGCAGACTCAAAAAGCCTTTGTGGGTTTTCTTGCAGATGTGGCCTGGACAAATTAGAAGTTGTTCCTTCCTGAGCAGTCTACTCCAAAGGTTACTGGATTGGGATTATGGAAAACACCTCAACACCCCCAATCTTTCTTTCTACATCCCCAATTATAGGGTGTGTTATATGCAGACTGGACTCGCCCTGAAAAAGGTGTGTGTTCCACCTAATAATTTGCTTAATAATATCCTATGGAAAGCGAGTTTACTAAAAAGTGGAGTATGCCAGCTATAGATCCCATGGTTTCAGTTGAAAAGGTAGCAGTGTTTAAGGATGCTTCAAGCAAATGTATTGGAGGTCTTATTTTTAAAGCATGAGCTCTATTGGGGGTGGCCTTACAATCTGTGTTTTGTGGCTGTAGGCATATGTCAAGCCCCCAATGTTTAGGCTTGTTTGATGATGAGAGATGGAGACCCTGACCGAATAGGTATTGAGTCAGGCAGATACTTGAGGATTTTCTCAATGCCCTCAGTTTTTCAGTGAATGACTTAAAGAAATCCCTTCCACAGTCCTTTCGTCAGGGTGTCTTATCTGTATACAAGCACAGCATATTATGGCTAAAGTGTTGGTCCGTAGAACTGCCTTTTCAAAACGAATGTTTGCTTGGCCCTGCTTTGGAAGAGTGCCCCACTGCCGCTTAAGAAAAAGTTGAAGGCTGCAGTACAAAAACCTACAGCCCCTTTTTACCCAAGCCCCAATCCCAATTCTGTCAGAAGACCTGGACTCCTAATCCCAACTCACTCGGGTGGGGGATGTTTGCGGACCTTCGCAAATGTTCAGTAGGGGAAGATGCAGGTAATTGGGTTAGTGGCATAGTGGCTCAAGGTTAGGAGTTGGAATTTCTGAGCCTCCCTACTCTGACATATGCTTTCAAATGTTTCTTTGGATCCACAAAGGATAGTCTCTTGGATGGAATTTTTAATGGTTCTACAAAATCCTTTATTTGGGAGTACATCACAGGACACGGGGATTCCATCCCTCTTCATTAATTTTCATGGTTTTCTAGTTGGGAAGGGGTATGCCTGGTTTCGTATTTCCTGGCTTTTTGTATCTATTTAGCCAGTGTCCAGACACGTAAAGGTAGTTGCAGCATAACCGTCTTAATAAATATGAGGATTCTCTGTGTCTTGTGATGTACTCCAAGAAAGGAGTTTTACAGCTAAACAAAAAACTTTTTTTGGTTTTCAATGTTCTGGAATGTGTAAGGATTGGCGGTTATGCATGGAATAAGGCAAAGTATTGTAGAGGAAGCTGGCTTTTGGAAGTAGAGGAAGCTGGTAATTGAAACTGAATGGGAAAAGTGCAGGTTAATTTCTATGATTTGATACCTGCTATAGGTCAGGCCATTCATATCTTGCCCAGTGGAATTTGCAGATCTAGGCTTGTTCCTTACCATGACAACTGCCGAATTGGGGGGGGGGGGGGGAAGGGGAATATCCCATACAATCTATTACTTTACTTTCAAATTACCAGTGTATGTTGTAGACACTTATGAGTGTTATCTTGTGTCAAACTGAATAAAGGAAAAAGTTCTTAGTGGACATATTGTGCAGACATCCCTTCATTTAGAAAGCTGGAGAAATGGACATGTGAATTGACTAGAAATGTGCTGATCAGCGCATTTGTAGTCAATTGATAACTACAAGCTGGTGGTTGCTGTCGCACTGAAATTGTAGTTCATTAATTCACAAATTGCAGATTTGAAATGTGACATCAGTTGTGGGGGAGAGGAACCCTTGTCTGTTGTCACACTGAATACAGGTGTAAAATGTTACAAAAGTTAACTGAGCCTTTTTAAATGTAGTTTTTATATAAGGTTTTCAGGTTTGCATTTGTCCCTCTTAGGCTCCATATACCAGCGTTTCTAAGCTCCTAGAAGCTGTTATCAGCATTTTTTTTTTTCTGTTTTCTGTTCCTAGAAGCTAAATAGTGTTGTCCTATAGGTCCATGCACACTAATTTAGCTTAGTGGTGTTTTTCAAGCTTCAGTATTTAGGAGCAGAAAAAAAAATCTTAAGCATTTTTCTGGTAGAAAAAAAAACCCTGCTACACGCTTCTAACAGCTTTTTATTTTTCTACATGTACTGTTAAAATGCTAACTCTTCTAAACATTACTAAAATGTTACTACAAGCCAGAACAAAAATGCCATCATCAGCGTTTTTTTTTTAGGTTCCTTTAAAACCAAAAAATGTCATGCTTTCACTGTGCAATAGTTTTTACACAGAGCAGCCTCCTCTTTTCTGGTCCCCTGTTAGCGCTCTTAAGCACAGGACAATCTGCTTTCTCTGGAGGCACTCGTGTGTGCTCACTCCTCAGATGCCTCTGTGTGTCTCAGGCACGCAGAAAGTGGCTCAGCCCGGCCCCCATTCCCTCTTCACTGGCTCTGTTTGACAATGCTGGATTGCAATCGGCCTCAGGTATGTTTTTAGAAAAAGCTCAGGGGGAATCTGCAAACAGGTTTTTTACCTTCAGGCATAGAATGCAAAACCTTTAGTGTTACTAAACCCAGGACCCTGCATTCACTATATGTGGTCTCCCACAGTATTGGCATGCTAATTATTTTAGTAAATATAAACTGTTAAATATCTTTTCTTATCAGCAGTTTATAGCAGTCTTGTGACTTTTATCAGTGTCCAGCTGAGCACTGGTTAAAGCTTGTAGGAGGTGTTTTCATTCTGCTGTGACTATCCTATGACTATAACCCCTAACCCTCTGTCTGGACAGTGCTGATTGGCCCTGTGCTGATCACATGCACCCTCCCAAAGAAAAAAAGACTCTAGCAATACACACCAAACTGAGCATGTGCAGAGTGATTCCTAGAGCTCTGTACTGTCAGCAGAAGGATTGGGGATAGTAGAATAAAGGGAGGACCAGAGAAGTCCGGATCAAACAGCCTTTTTACACAATGTGGAAGAGTAACCCCTTTAGGTTCCATAGTATAATAAGCATTCTTTACTGCATATACAGACTGATTTTAGTGTTGTGGGCTTAGTAACGCCTTTAGAACCACTTTAATATTTTCCCACACTTGTGTCTGACGCCCATCAGCTAAACTGAAACACGCTTGAGGGGACATGGCAAAAAAATTCTGACATTCTTTTCTAATCCTTCTCCAGTCTACTAGAAAAAGGTTTGTGTTTGTGTAGTTTTTTTTTTTTTTTCTTTTGGTTTGTTTTGTTTTATTTTTAATAGCTGTGTCTTTATTAGGGGAGTGTATCCCTCCCTTCCTACACACTGTCAGACACCCATCAAATTGATTGAATAGAACACAGATCGCACAAAAAAAAAATGTTTTTGGCTAGGGTTTCGCTTCAAGTTGCATAAAAAAAATTGTGTGTATTGTATCTTTTCCTTTTTAGGAGGAACGTTATTACCGCAATCTCTATTGTAAAACATTGGGTAGACAACAGTCATTGCAACGCTGCCATGAGGATGAGAAAACACTTACAAGAAGCTCTTCAAGAAGCCACTGAATCCTTGGTAAGCACACACAGATGTAAATGTAATGCTGCTTGCTTACGTGGTGCACAGCACTAATTTGCTATAATGTACCTCTCCCCAGTGTGTGATTCTTACTGTAACCATTGCCAAATTCAGCTAAATAAAGTCCTGCATGCTTAGCGTATATAGGGCTATGCACTTGTGTGCCAGCACTTATCAGCCCAGCACTGTCACATGTTCTCCATACACGAAAGTAACTGGTATATCTTTATAATCCTGATGCTCAACAGAGCAACAAAGGAAAGTAAGCAATATGCTAGGGTATATGGGAGAAATAAAGCTGAATTCCAGCTACAGAAACTTACAGGATATTGCCAAAAGTATTGACTTCTGCTTTTACACACACATGAACTTTAACGGCATCCCAGTCTTAGTCCTTAGGGTTCAGTATTGAGTTGGCCCACCCTTTGCAGCTATAACCACTTCAACTCTTCTGAAAAGGATGTCCACAAGGTTTAGGAGTGTGTCTATGGGAATGTTTTGACCATTCTTCCAGTGAGGTCAGGCACTGATGTCGAACAAGAAGGCCTGACTCGCAGTCTCTGCTCTAATTCATCCCATAGGTGTTCTGTCGGGTCAGGACTCTGTGCAGGCCAGGCAAATTCCTGCACCCCAAACTCGCTCCTCTATATCTTTTATAGACCTTGCTTTGTGCACTGGTGCGCAGTTATGTTGGATCAGGAAGGGGCCATCCTCAAACTGTTCCCACAAAGTTGGGAGCATGAAATTGTCCAAAATGTCTTGGTATGCTGATGCCTTAAGAGTTCCCTTCACTGGAAATAAGGGGCCAAGCTCAACCCCTGAAAAACAACCCCACACCATAATTCCCCCTCCACCAACTTTTTACTTGGCACAATGCAGACAGGTAAGTACTGTTCTCCTGGCAACTGCCAAACCCAGACACGTCCATCACATTGTCAGACAGAGAAGCGTGATTGATCACTTCAGAGATCACGTCTTTGCTGCTCTAGAGTCCAGTGGCGGTGTGCTTTACCCCACTAAATCCGCTGCTTTGCATTGCACTTGGTGATGTAATGCTTGGATGCAGCTGCTCGGCCATGGAAACCCATTCCATGAAGTTATCTACACACTGTTATTGTGCTAATCTGAAGACCACACGAAGTTTGGAGGCCTTAAGCTATTGACTCTGCAGACAGTTGGCACCTTCTGCGCACTTTGCGCTTCAGCATACGCTGACCCCGCTCTGTCATTTTACGTGGCCTACCACTTCATGGCTGAGTTTCTGTTGTTTCCGGTTGTTCCCAGTTGCACTTTGTTATAATACCACTAACAGTTGACCGTGGAATATTTAGTAGCAAGGAAATTTCACGGATGGACTTGTTGCACAGGGGGAAACCTATCATGGTACCACGCTTGAATTCACTGAGCTCCTGAGAACGACCCATTCTTCACAAATGTTTGTAGAAGCAGTCTGCATGCCTAGGTGCTTGATTTTTTTTTTTTTTTTTTTTTACACTTGCCTGAATCCAATGATTGGGAGGGTGTCCCAATACTTTTGGCAATATACTGTATATTTAAATATATTCCACAATGACCACAAAGGATATAAATCCAATCTGTATTCACAAAATACCTAAGCAAACCCAGGTATTACCTTGTAAAAGTATTGGTGACCTCAATACTGTGTTGTACATAGTATAAGCAGAGCAGTGGAAGGGACACATCAGATCCCTCCAGTACAGGCTGCTGAAATATCTAGTAGGGGGGTGGATACCGGACAAGTCATTCCACATAAGGATAGAGAGCAGCAGTGACTGGTCTTTATTACAGGAAGCTCCTGTACAGAGGCAAAGTTTTGCCCTGGAAGAAATGTACACTGAAATTCACAATTAATTTTTCAAGCTAAAGAACCCTGAAAAGAGGATACTATGGACTCTTACTGGTGATTAAGGATGAACAAACTAAAAGAATTTTGAGCAATCTTACAGGGATGTTCAATGATATTGCCTAGGACATGTAGTTCCAGGCATCGGGCAGGTAGATTTTTTTTTTTTAACCTTTTAGCCCTGCTGCAGGCAAGCAGCATGGCTCATCTGTCTTGTGAAAGCATTCAGGTGGCAGCACTGCCGCCTGATTGCTTCCACACAGCCCACTATTGTGCCAGCCTCCGCCTCCTGCCCGCTATGTCTCCCGGGCTCCACTTGCCCATCTGCGGACCTGGGATCAGTTCAGTGGCTGCCAGCAGGTAAAGGGAAGGGAGGAGAGTGGACACATTCGCTCCATTTTGTCCCTGGACAAGTAGTTTTTTCAAAAATGTCCACACCCCTGAAACAATTTTTGAACAATACTCACATAAGATTAATGGTTGAAAAAACATGTATACATCTGAGTTAAAATGAATCAAATAAAAAAAAAAAAAAAAATCTGTATCTAGCATAACTGACTTCCTTGTAGTTGGTATCACACATGGCATGCAATTTCCAGGTGTGTGTGTGTGTCGCGCCCTCATCCATCACAAGATATACAAATGTATCAATAGTCGCAATATGCTTTCTTTCTTTTTTTTGTTCCCCACTCAACCAACAATCCAAACAGGGAAGGTGTATCCACTGCTGACACCCTCCAGGGATGAGCACAGGGGCATTCCACAATAGCAGCTAAAAAATGGGGGAGAGCAGTAAGGGATAAGTCTCAAATTTGTAGTGTATGTGTGTATATGTCCACAAAATTTAGTTTATAATTGGTCCCATACCTGCTTTACAGTTTCAATGTGTCAAAAATGTTCAGAGGTGTTGAATAGTCCCTTGGCAGCATATCTGATTACACAAGCTATGTTTCCAAAGGAAATTGCAAACTTAAAATTGTTTTACTTCTACAAGACTGTATTTTTTATTGTGAAATTGGAAGCCATCCTTTTTACTCCTTCCTTTTTTTTTTTTTTTCTAGTATATTGAGGTTTCTGATTGTTTACATTTTTTTGTATTGTTTTTGTCGTCTTTCTTGTTAATGTAGAAAAGATTTTCAATAAAAATTATTTGATTAAAAAAAAAAATGTTCAGAGGCGAGAAAGCGGTATGCTGTAACACATGGTTTCTTCATATTATTATACAGGATTTATATAGCGCCAACAGTTTGCGCAGTGCTTTACAATATAAGGGAGACAGTACAATTACAATACATTTCAGTACAGAATGAATAGGAGGGCCCGGCTCGTTAAGTTTACAATCTAAAGGAAGGGGGAGGTGATACAAAAGGTGATAGCTGCAGGGGATGATCTGGTGGAGGTGATTCAAGTACAGTTCTTAGGTGGAGGTAGGGTAGGCATCCCTGAATAAGTGAGTTTTCAAAGATCGCCTAAAGACAATTGAGGTGGGGGCTGACCAGACATCCTGTGGTAGGGAGTCCAGAGGATGGAAGAAGCTCTGGAGAAGTCCTGGAGGTGAGCGTGGGAGGAGGTGATGAGTGAGCTCGAGAGGAAGATATCTTGGGAGGAGCGGAGTGGGCGATTAGTGACTATTCATTAAACTGGTGAACCCTAGATTGGGGATTTCTTCATATAACTCATGATTGTCCTACAAAGAAACAAAAGGGGACAAATAAGGCCCTGAATGTAGTCAAATGAATAATTCCTACTTGTAAAGGGGATAAGTTTGTAACCTTGGGGTAGGGTCCTTACCATGATTTACTGTGTATGGTGTATATAGGATGAATGGATTTTTGCACAGATCTGGAAGACTTACACAAACCACACCAAGATTCAATTGAGAGCAAAAATCTACATTTGCTTTTCGCAGTGTTCAGCTTTAAAGAAAATCTGTTGATTTGGTTTGCTTTAAAATAAAATGCCACCTTTTGTTGATTTAAAGATTCTAACAATGATAACTTTATCTGTAAGACTTTTCACAAAACTGTAGAGGCACTAGTATAATCCATTGTTTTTAAGTCAAATTTACCCTTTCCGCCTTTCATTTAAGCTCTCACATTATGTAAAATTTAAAGTGAATGAAATCCCACAGTGTTCTGCCTTTCATTAAAGGAAACCTGCTGAACTACATAGGAAGCCACGTTCTAACATTCTTTCAAAAATGTCATACTTATCAGAGGTTTCAGCAATCACTGTTCAGGAACAGCCATACATATCTAGAAATTGAGTGAAATCAGAGCTGTTAATCTGCATATTGGTTATTGTTTGGTCATTGACACCAGAAGTACTGTCCAGTAGGCAACTAGTACTTTCAAAACAGGCAGGTCAACTTGGGCAACCCCTGTACTCTTCAGTGTTGAGTTTCTTTAAAGCCAGCATTGATGTAATGTTCGCTTGGCAAATTTAGGATGTGAAAAACTCCAGATTGCAATGGAGGACATTAAAATAAATTGATATCTTGATTCTTTTCAGTGGCTTTGAAGGATGTACTCAGACCTTAATGGATCAAAGATTGCTTGGCTAGCCTTCAATATGACCTTTGGTCACAGGTTTCTGCTTGTGGTGTCAGACCTTGTTGTACTGTGTTGGCAGCAGGGTACTCTTCAGGTCCAGAGCCATGACACAGTGTCTAATGTAACCCAGTCTCTGTATACCCCTGTTATCCTATATATGTGACCATGGAACTTTCTCATGTCCCTTTCAGACATCAAGCTCTGCTTTTTGGTGTTTTTCCAGTCTTATGTGTGCTGTGTCCATTACTGCAGAGCATTTTCATCAGGACTGAAGTTTATTCAGTTCCTCTGTGACCCAAACTGTGAACACTTACTTCAATATCAGTAGATGCCAATTATGGTTAAAAAAGTATAGCCAAAGCTGTTTTGGCTATACCTCTCCTATGGATCACAGACGTACAGTTAGTTCTGCACTCCTGTGAACCTTTCTCAGCCGACAGTGAGAAAAGTCCACTGTCAGCTGATGTCATTCAGCCAGTCCAGGCTCTGCAAAGATCCTGACTTTATAGTTGGGATCCACCCAGATGCCTAGACCAGCAGCTGGGTCAGACAGCTGCTGTGGACAGGAGTCAGCTGCTCCTGCCCACTCCACAGCCCAGTGCTACAGTGAGCACTGGACAGGCAGAGCAGAAAGCTGGTGAATGACAGTCACCAGCTCTCTGCAAACTGAATAATGAGAGCTGAGCTATCAGCTATTTTTTGATCGCTCATTTCTCACAGAAGAGCCAGCGGGGGACAGCTGCAGCTGGGATCGGTACTGCAGCCATCTAGGTGAGTATGATTTTTTTTTTTTCCCCTGCCTTTCATTTCTGGAGAAAAGAACTGTGCCGCTGCTGCTCCTATTTGAGTAATTGGTTCGCTGCCTGGCTTCATTGATTTGGTCACCTCCCAGTCCTTTCTACCCATTCTTTAGGAAAACCTAAAACCTTGCTTAGTCTGCTTGGGTTTCTGAGTATGCGATGAGTTTCCTATATTTGGGCCTAGTTTAATTAACACTAAACCTAAGTGGTGCAACAAGTCTTTTTAAAAGACTTTGAGGACAGTCCCAATGCAATGGGTGAATCTTCTCTAAATCCCACTTTCTTTCACAAGGAATGTTACCTTTAAGGACTATGGCATCTGTACTTTTTTCCTCTTTTTGTCAGCTTACAGTTACTTGTACTCATTGACAAGGATACTCCGAGTACTCCAGTGGCTCTGTTTTTTGTCACTTTTTTTATTTGGTTTCCTTGTGTGCTACTCTCTGAATCCAGTCACATACAAAGTTTGCATATTCTATGCAAGATGAAGATCTTGTCCCTTGTGATCTCAATAAGGAAGTCCGCTTTCTGTTACAGCCTTGGTCTTCCCTTAGGTTTTCTGGGATTATGGCCATTTTTTATTGTTATTTTGGTTAATTCTAAGGAGAATCTAGAATTTTGAAGCAAAAATACTTTACCTTTTTGGGCTAACAATCTTGTTTCCATAGTTTGGGCTTCTCCAAATTTGCTTACTAACTTTATTTAATAATTTCAGTCAAGGCTTTTTTTTTTTTTTTTTCCTGTTACCTATAAGATGAAATATATAAAAGCATTTTGACTGCCACTTTTTATCTAGCACTTATGGAATGGGAGGTAGGGCTTCTAATGGGATAATATATGAATGAAATATACTTTTATTCTCAACCAGGCATCATATAAAAGTGAAGCTGTTTCAATGGTTAAGTTTTCTGAGAACCTGTATGAGACGGTACAGAAGTACAGAGCTGACTTAAACCAGAAAGTAAGTTTTTTTTTGTATAACCTCAAATGTTTTCACAATTTTGTATTTCAATGTGCAAGTAGGTGCCCTATAATCTGTTGCAATGTAACATTTACCTCTTTATTGCTTAGTTTAGGATCAAGAAGGTTTTTTTTTTTACAGATCTTCATAATTGTTCATGTAAAAAAAAAGCATATAATCACACACACACACACTCTGGAGCACAGGCTCAACGGGTAGTGGTAAACCATGCACAAGACAGACATCTGGGATCAGTCCAAACAGGTTTGTCCTGCACTCTTATTC